AGTTGAAAAAGTAAACAGTTATCTTCATAAATTTTAAAATTTTAGTAGTTTCAAGAATTACTAACAATAATATTATGACATTATTCAATTTTATTTTTTATTCTATTATTATACATGTCTTGTTTTTGGTTGAAAATATCTGTTTAAAATTATGCGAAACGTTATTTTTGATTAGTTTATAAAGTTATAACTGTTATGAATAAATAAAAATTCAAAATTTATTCCTACTATAATAATTAAGTATAGTGATTAATAATTTAATATGTTAAAAAAATATAATTAGTTAAATATAATAAATTATTTTTTCAATGTTTTCAATGTTCTTTTTTCCTGGGTCCCACAGTGTTATAGCTTTTTAAAGTTTCAATTAACTTATTTTTAGTACGACTTTATGTACGTATTATTTTTAACAATAAATATGGATATTATATTTGCGACTTATAGTACAATATTAAATCTTGCTTATTGTTGTTACCGACCGATGTAATATTTTTTATTTATTCTAAATCTAAAAAATGAGAAAGAAAATTATTTGTGTTTATATATATAATATTATGTTGAATCCACATAGTGAAACCACTCGTTTCATGGACTGGATATCCAAATTGTGAAATTTGTCAGATTGTGAATTTTGACGAAAATATATTATAATATGTACATCCATTTCATGAAATGGATAATACCTATTTTATGTACTTGCATAATTATTATAAAACATTTTTTTTTTTTTTTTTGTTATTTACTAATAAATTATATCATATTTAAATTAATAAAAAATTATAAATTATAAAAATATAATAAAATATAATATACGAGTGTCGAGTATAATTGTATAATATTATATTTTATAAATGACAGTGTTACCTATAAAGTATAATAAAATTATGAACCTAATAATATCCTTATTATTTATTTTTTCACAACAATTGATTATGACATCATCTATCACATTAACATAGCATTATTTTTAAAACATGCGCTCTGACTTTATCGGCAAGAATTTTTTGCCGTACACGAACAAGGCAAAAATCCTTGTACTCCTGAAATTTGTTAATTATTTATGGCACTAGAAATTCAATATTTTTATTAACTTGATCACTTGCGATAAATTGAATTGTTGATTTTTAGCATTTTGTTGCATTTTAGCAGCGCGTGCCCGGTTAGGTTAGGAACAATGTACGATGTCGACAGACGGCAATCATTACATAAGCTATGTTTGGCGGATTTATAGGTCCCCTGCCAACTTTTGTTAATTGCTTAATTTCAAAATCATCTGGTCTTTTTTTGTTTTCCTGTTAAAAATAATTTTAAATTAAGATCTAAAAGAATATTTTTTACCGTATTCTATTATCTACCTTGATCATTTTATCTGCAGCTATAATTTGACTTTCGTATCCACGTTCACATTGAATTTGTATTTTTTACTCGAATAGCATAATTAGAAGATAATTTTATTATTTTCAGCAATAGGTACCCGATAATAGCAATCTCACTTCAATCTTACAGATGCTGCAGACAATTAAGCGTTTTTCAATTTCCTTTATCTGAGATGTGTGTATGAGGTCTTCACCCGTTGTTAACTTTCTCAACAGTTCAAATGGTAAATTTTATGTAATTAGTTTATTTTTTGGGTCATTTCCAAATAACTAAACAAAATTTAATCCAATGTTCCATTTTTTGGCTTAGAAGCCATTCTTGCTCGTGACATCATGATTAGACCTTTCAATACTTTTCTGACTTTGAGGGTGTCAAAGACGTATGTCATATTTAATCGTCGTACAAAAATAAATAATAAGGATATTATTTATAATAATACTCCATAGGTAACACTGTCTTCTATAAAATATAATATACAATTATATATTGTAATATTATATAATATGTATAATAAATGTAATATATGTATGGTGTATGAAAAATAAATAAAAATATAATATAATATAATATAATTTATTGGTAAATAACAATAATAATTGTTTTATAATAATTACACAAATACACATTATAGATAAGTATTGTCCATTTCATAAATGGATGTTCATATAATGTATTTTCGTCAAAATTCACGACCTGGACAAATTTCACAATCTATAGATTCCAGTTCATGAAATGAATGGTTTTACTATGTGGATGCGATATACATGTATATTAAATAGTTCTATTTAAAATTCGTAATCTGTTGATAATTTCTTAAGCACGGTTTGACAGTACGTAGTGTTAAAAAGGTCGAAAAATATTTAATTAATTGTATTTTACACTGGCAGTAATAAATTCAAGTTAAGAAGAATTTGATTTTGTTTTGTCATAATATTATCGTAATCAAATCATAATTATGTACAATAGGTAGTAGCTATAAACATTATAATTATTAACTTGATTATAAAATTAATTTTCCAGAATTTCGTATTCGGCATTATACAACGTAAGCAATTATACAGTTAAAACATCATCACAGATTATAAATGCCGAATTAGTAACTGTAATAAATAATGACATTAAAGATGTAACTAACCCGAGAATTGAACCTGATCTAAGGTTTTTTGCATTAAAATTACTTCAGTCATTAATTCGTAATGTTTGTAATAAAGCTGCATATGATATACTCTTAAATAACGTAAGTATTAAGATATTTTGATTTAATTATTATGTAACTAGGTATTGAATATAATTTATATTTTATATTATGTTTGCCTATTATATCCACGTTATATGTATTTCTACTACAGTTTACTGATATTTTATACTTGTTTATTAAAATTGTTAAAATGCCTTATACCTAATTATTTAATTACAATTAAAATTAACTTTTATACGAAACCCTCATTTAATATTTTTCAAAACTTCTTTGTCGGTATCTTTATTTGAGTATTTATAGTTTTCACTTGATGTCTAATATTGTATATTATACATTTATCTACCTATGTAAATATATTTGTGGAGTAATAAAATATTCAGTGTTCAATCACTTTACAGATCGAACAGTCCCGATTAGTAAAATTGACATCCGCAGTAGACGCCGAAACTGAAAATATATCGAGAAATATATTGGACGCTTTCAGAAAAGCAAAAGAACAATTCGAAACCAAAATTCCCATATCATAACAAATAAATATGTCATTGTACCATAACGTAATATTTCAGCTAATATAGTGTCAATATTCGCTGGAATATACAAAATTTTGTATTTACGTAAATTTTTATCATTTTATAATAGTAACGTACATATCAATCTAAAAGTTAAATAATTAGAGCTAATAATATGAACTTTTCATATTTCGAATAATTATTTTTTCTCATACATGATCGATATAACTGTACAATATGTTAAAACGGCAAAGAAATTTCACAAAAACAAATCACGTATACATAGACATTTGAAAATACAATACGAAATCAAAGAGTGGCGTATTCTTAAAAACATGCATCCGATCGAATCGCAAAAAAACTGTTGTGGCCTGTGCTGTGTAGGGGCAGAATACAATTCTATTATGGTTTAGACGTTATCTAATGTACTGTATCGCAACAGTGATAGCACAACGTAACTGTACGGTATAGTAGTAGAAGGTGGTACAATACACTCACGAGTTCTTTCAGGAAATTATCATTATTCGGATGATGCTGCACCATGTAATCAACAAAAAGTGATAGACCGAGCGAGGAAACTTTATGGGCATTGAAAAAAAAGAAAATTATTCACATCTTCATAAAAATGTTAACACTGCAGTTCTGTCTAGATTATTTACGATAACAAAATGTCTGGGTATAGAACAATATATAGGTAGTCAAATAGATGCAGGTCTACAAGACTACAACGGGTTTTTACTTTTTACAACCTTTCGTCGTTGTTAATTGGTAGTCGTTTTATGGATTTTTAATTGCAACGTCAAACGATTATAAAATATGATATTATACACTACGACAAATTATAATTAGGGCGTTATGTTATGAGGTGTCGTGTGAAATGACACTTGACAGTCTATTAAAGACTATCGTTCGAATATGTACGATATAAATGTGTAATACTTATGTGTTTTATTAGCAAACAATGTACTAATTCATGGATCGCATAATTATTATTTTGCAAATAGTTAATAAATAATTATCGGACTGTGTAAAAAACATTGAGCCTCGTGTTCTACGAATAAAAAACGAGAAAAGTTTCTTCTCGCAAGCAAAAAAGACGTGCAATGCAAGTTGTAAGCCTAATGCAACAGGTAATTACTGATTACTCATTTTCAAGTGAGAACATTGAAAAAAATATTTGAAAAAATAAAGATAGCATTGTCGTCTTTAAATCCAATGGTATTACGCTTTACGAGACTTGCTGACAAAATTAAGTGTAATTGTCGAACGTAGTCCCTCAATATCGTACGCGTTTAACCTAAAACGAAAAAAAATATGGAAAAAATAAATAAGGACAACGGATTTAAAATTGCAAGTATTTTGTTTTGTTTTTAATCGGGGGATGTATAATTTTTCAAGAAATTAAAGCTGTTTGCTTTCCACTTTCCAGACGCCACTTGTCAGTCAACTTGTCGGGACCGAACTATAACTTTACTATGAGGCGTTTAATGCTCCTCAGGGGTAAAATAACGATTGTACTACGTGATGATCTATTGTGTTAAAAAATATTTTTTTAAACGTATTTAAACACAGCGATAGAACAGTTTTCACCGTCAAATTTATCATAAAGCGATTCGAGTTCCCATAGCCCCCCCCCTCCACGAAAATCAGCCTAAATGTCATCTTCAGTCGAATACGACACAAACGATCTACGGCGTTCGGACGTCGAAATCGTCTGAAATCGCAACGAACAGGACAGGTGTTGTAGTCGCTGATCGAACAGATCATAATATTATTGTAGGACTCGTCCACAGGTGTTCTCGATCGTACAAGTCACCGTGCACCGTCTGGGCGACGTCCAAACGAAGTGACGCCGTCACCGCCGCCCGCTGGCTTCGAAACCCGTTCTCCGTGTCCGCTGTAATGTGTCCGGTGACGCGACGTCCGCATACCGCACCGCCGCTGTCTTTTGCCGTCGAAGACGTGCGCATAAATGGTCGCGTCATGACGACCGGGAAGACAACCGTCGTTGATGTAAATATTACAATAATATTGTTTTTATAGTTTTGTGAGTTTATTTTTTCTGTCTTTTCGATTTCATACTTGATGGGGTCGCTTAAACTAGTCGAAACGCCGAGTACAGTCGTTCAAACTAGTGCCGTCGGTTGTCCTCCGATGACGTGGCGTGTTACGAACTCGAAACCGCAATAGGTTGAAAAATGTACAAAACGGTGCACCGCGTCCAAGTTGTGTTGGTAGGTAATAATTATCACTTTAACAAATCGCGTGAAACATTAATATTATAATTATTATTATTATAGGTACTTTATTCTCAGTTGTGTAGCATAGAGAATAATGTTTCTCGATGTTAAATTTGTAATGACAAGTATATAGTTGTATAAAATAACACATTGCAACTAAACCAGAGTTAATTTAGCTATCTCAATTAGTAATTACAATAATTATTTAGTTTTGGAATATTTAAGTAAATTTTACAAGGCTTTGTATGTTAAAATCAATATTATTGAGTTTGATTTCGTCATCTAAGGTATACAAATGTCGAATAAGAGAAAAGTTAGTGTCTTCTAAGAATATCAAAGTATATAAGTAATAACTGTTTTACTATTGTAACAAATCTGCACGACAATCCCTCCCGAAATTGCATTAAAAATATACGTACATATTTACATTTACAACATCTTTGATAATACATGACAAATCTATGTTATAATATTACGCAATTTAGTCAATACGTAATATGTAAACATAACACAAAACAACTGATTTTTCAGTGTTTCTATTGACGAAACTATGCCAAACCATTTTTGCTCGCAATGCCGCATTATATTACAATAAATTAATAATACATTACCAAGTTAATTATATTATTATGTTTTAATAGTTTAAATGTACAATGATGACATTAGGTTTAAAAAAAAATAATAGGCGATATATTATAACCTTGCATAGTCTGCATATTTTACACATATGCATATGAAGTAGTATCTTCTTACCGTTATGCCGTTATGAGGACGCCACACCCGCACGTGTTATCTCCGTCTTACATACATGCAACATACCAAATTTTCGTTCAGCAGAATCCGTTTTATGTTGTTAGCTTTAATATTAGAGTAAATTAATCCATTATTAAACTTAAAGGTAAGAATTTTATCTAGGCCATCATATAGACTTTTATTTAGTTATATTATTATATTAAAGTGAATTATGAACATTCTAAAGTTTTAATATTTTACATAGCTATAACTTAGTTTAAAATTAAAATATTAACAAAAACCTAAGTGATGGCCTAGATAAAGTTCTCATCTTTAAGTTTGATTATAGGTTAATTTACTTTAATAATAAAGCTAACAACATAAAATGGATTCTACTGAATAAAAATTTGTTATATTGTATGTTTGTAAGACGAAGATAACACATGCGTGTGTGGTGTCTTCGTAACGGCATAATGGTGAGATAAGATACTACTTTATATGCATATATGCAAAATGTTAAAACCTAACCTTACCTAACGTTACCCAGTGAATTTTTGTTGAACTATATTTTTTTCCAAATCATGCATTTCTTAGATATATATCTATGTACTATCTGATGTACTTTTTATGCATTTTTTAGCCATTTAATTTCATAAGCGACCATGAATAATTCAAAAATGAAATTTTTTTGATATTATGACAAACACGACCTCTTAGTAACAAAGATATGTAAAGAAAATGATTATTTTATGTCATTTTACGGAGCCAAATTTTGTCGAATGTTATTACGTATCTGAGGTTGTAGGTCTGACGTGGGCTCACAGTGTAGTGTTGTAACGTGACGTGTTGTGTTAAGCTACTGTGAAACGGACTTTATATTGAATTATTGGAACAAAAATCAAATTTTAGAACTTAATAAGCTATAGTTTTCTATAGAGAGTGTCGAATGACACCATCACGAGACATGTTGTATGATATTTGTACTGTGTACAATGCAATTATGAACCCGCACGACCATAACGTTTTTAAACAAAACTATAGTTTACAATAATTCATCTAATGGACAAACATTATCTCAAAAATATAAAGACTATTAAACATTTTTTGGAGGTCTGTTTTTTAAAATTACATAAAAATTGATCGTTTTGTTTATTTTTATTTTTTATTTATTAATATATTATCCCAAAATCAACCTTCGTATGTCATTTTAGAGAAATATGCAATTTTGAACTTGTATCCATATAAACCAATAGTCGGTGAACAATTCTTATTGAAAAGTATCCGAGATTAGACCGGAATACCGACTCTAAATAGTATAAAAATAAGAGCCTAAGGTTCTCGATGACTTTCTAAACTCTGGCAACCAAATCCGTTTTCCAGCGTCTGTAGAAGTCCTACACTAATGTATCAGTGTCTTATGTTATTGATTAAATGCAGTATACCAGAGGTATTCAAACTGTGCGTCGCGGGGCTCCCAGGGGCGTTGTGTAGTCGGTGAAGGGAGCCGTGGCAAAAAACCGGAAAATAAAATTAATGTAAAAACGTATAGCGATTATGTAAACGATAGTGAAACACACACGACCGGTTGAATGTGTATCAATATGCGTATAATTAATATAAATATAGTTTATAATATTTATTTATCGTCAATTATTTTCTTTATTACATATTTATTTGTAAATTGATTTATACAGTCGTATGATAAACGAAAAAAAATGTTAATATATTATAAAAAATTATATTTATAATAATATAACAATTGTTTTTTTTTGGTTATTACTTATTTAGGGGCCGTTAAAAAATTGTGAAGACAAAAAGAAACCGTAGTATGAAAAATTTTGAATACCTCTGCAGAAATTACTATTTGGGTTGATCTACACAATACGTTGTCACATCGTTATATTATTCGTGTTTAACCGATGGCAATTACTGGCGTGGCTCGGAATAAATGGTTCGCTAACTTCTGCAAACAAACATGTACGGTGCTCGCGCTACCTTTCATATATTACGATTTACGGTGGCTTAAAAATGTTTGGTTGTTTTGAATTCAAATAATATTTTTTTTTCTGTCATTCTCGTGTTTCGGGTATGAACTGGCGTCCGGGTTATCTTAATATTAGCACCGCACTCGGTACGAAAATTCCGTTACTTCAGCTACGTACTTATCTTCTTCTGTTATCGTATTGAAAAAATAAAACTGCTGCAGTGTTCCAAAAGGTGCAGATTTATATTGGAATCGGAATCACGGTCGGCAACGTAGCACATAATTGTTTGGTGTGGAATTATGAGTTATATCAATACCATAATATTATATTACCTAATTACCTGAACACTTGTTTTAATTTTAAAATGTAATTTTGCCGTTGACTTACACTTCAACATTCGTTTCCTAATGTATACCTATTCACGGTGTTTGTGAAGTCTTTATCAGTGTTTTTTATTTTTATTATTATTATTACACGGTTGCTTGACAAAATCACGTCCTTGAGATGATATCAATAACTGTAATGTAAGTATTATCAAACTATATAGATATTACAAACTGCTTAAATATTATGTGTCTATATTCTACATATTTACCTATACTACTAAGCTAGAACTACAGCTAAACGTGCTTAAACATTCTATATTTGTATACAGTTCGCGAAATTTGCTATTAATTAAATTCTTACAGTGTAAAGTTTTATTTTTCATTCGTTTATTTAGTATACAGCATTTACCGTAATTTACCAACGACCTACTAAGCATATAATTTATGTTTATATCAGACCAATAACAATACATGATTGATGTACAACTATACAAGGTATAAATCTGTTTAAATAATAATAGAAGTCTACATTTTAAATAAACACGTGATAATTATTAAGATTAGATAGTTGAAAAGAAAGAGTAAAGAGCATTGACTATAAATATTACATAATGGCTTCACTTCGTGTACTGTTGAGACTAGTATATGAAAATTAATAACCACTTGAGCTTAGTGTACTCAAAATTCCATTTTTAATAACAAAATTACCTTAGTTTTTGATAGTTATGAGGACATACCGTAAAACACTTAAATAATAAAAAAATTAAAACAATTAACTGATAAAGAAAACATAATATGAATAAAAATTTTTATGATATAAGTCACATTTTAAAAATAATATTATATGTTTCTTTTGGCCAAGTTCCTAGATTTACTAATGCACACAATTTAAGAGCTAATAACAGATAACACTGGTAGGTGCTCATATTCTAGTTCACGTTTTGTTAGGTATATATATATTGTCTATCGGAGTGAGCAATTATCATTTATCAGTACCTAACCTTTGATAGATATCCATATCGTAGAAAAAACTGGAAATACATAATAAAATGGAATCTAAATGTGTTATATTGAGGAATTGTATAAAGTTTGGACATCATTATCATTATTGTTGTCCTAGTGCGATTATTAAACAGCTAACACACAAGGAGATTTATAACTTTTTAATATTCTTTCTATAGAGAATAAAATATTTTAAATAAGTAAAAAAAAAATATGGGTCTGGAAAATCAAGTGGCTTTGGTGACTGGTGCAGCATCAGAAATTGGGTACGCTTACGTAAAGTGTTTACTTCAGAACAAAGTTAAGGTAGGAAAACAAAAATTTACAAATTATACTTATTTATACTTGCTTAGTTTGTCATGTTCCATAATACAATTAATAACAATTTAATATATTGAATTCAGGTGTTACTCTGTGATGTTAATGTCAACGAATGTCAAGTTATTTCACATAAATTCCTAAAAGAGTTTCAAAATATCAATATACTCTCGATAAAATGTGATGTTACTAATGAAGATGAATTTGAAAGTGAGAATATTAAATATTTTTAAATTATTTTTCTTTCAGCGAGTTATTCGTGTAATTCAATAGGTTTTACGTAAATATTCTTTTTAAATCAATCATGTTATTCATATTAAACTATTTAAAATATTTTGAGAATCATCTAATAATATTTTATTTTTTTCTGAAGTCAACGACTTTTATTAAATATTCTTTTATAGATGCTTTTAAAACATGTATCAAGCATTTTGGTCAATTGGACATTGTTATTAATAACGCTGGTGTTTTCGATAATTCAATTGAACAACGATGGTCTGCTACAGTAAATATAAATTACGTGAGTTAAAGTGGTAATTGAACGCATTTGATTTTTATGGGTGATATATTAACTGTGTTTACGGAACTAATACTTACCTATTTAATTTGACGAGTTGACAAAACGTAAATATTTATTAAGTCAACTTATATTGATATTACTGTGGAAAAAGGAAATCGTTTGATTTTCCTCGAGTATTCATCACCGATATTATAACGTGGCACGCATAGAATAATATAACTTGATATTAACATATCAATATCCATGCGTAGGCGCAATTGATAAAAAAATCTATTAAATCCTAAGAGTTTTTAATAATTTATTGCACTATGAAGTAACACTGTTTTAAGTCTTAAAATATGGTTGGTGAACATCTACAATATTTTTTTTTTAGGGCGGAGTCGTCAGAGGTACATTACTGGCTATTAAGTATATGGGAATTCCCAACGGAGGTAAAGGCGGAACAGTAATACAGACGTCTTCTTTGATGGTTTTCGGTGACAGTTATTGTAATCCCATATACTTGTCTACGAAAAAATATATGATGGAATTTACGAAAAGTTTTGGAGTACGTTTATCTGTATTTTAGATTAATATTACTAATCACTATTTAGTGTACATCACGATACGTGTCTTATAATATAATTAGTGATTTTGTTTTATGTTAAAATTTTGAAGAAAAAACATCATTTCAGTCTTCATGGTGTAAGAATTATTACATTGTGTCCGGAATTTACTGCTATTAATAATTGTGTAAGACCAGTTTGTAAAAATGAAATGGTGCACAAAAATGGAGACCGTGTCGAGGAGCTTGAAGATTCAAAAAATAATCAACTGTACACGAAAACACAAAAGTAAGTAATATTTTTATTTTATTTCAATATGTGTGTACTTAAGTACCAATATTGTTTTCAAAATCTATGTACGCAACCGAAAATTGATTTAGAATATTTTGGCAAATAATACCTAATAAAAAACTTTTTAAAGTTTTTAAAGGACACAACCGTGTCAGTGTGTCACAATTTACATTAGCTAAATCATAAAATCTAGGGTCATACAAACATCATGTTTATAAATAATGTTCCAATTTTTATTTTTACTATTTCGAGATTGAATGCCTAGTCCCCAGAAAGCAGTAGTTTGAGTTTCTCTTGTATAATAATACATTTTTATAGTGCGCTTCGTTCTCAGGGAGGGGTATTGGGTGTACGAACTACAAACGAATTAGATGGGTACATTCAATACAGCCATTAACATTTTTATATTTAACAGTTTACGAGTTCACTATTACATTACAGTGCCTATTTTTATTTGTCGATTTTCGTATTATCCACATTATAGTACAGCACATAAAAATGTGGGGGACTTCATTATTTTTATTAAAATAAATATGTGATCAATAATCATACATGTGTTTTAGATTCTGGACGGAGTAATGAATTTATTGATTTGAAAATTTGTTTTTTTTTGTGTATGTCAACACTTTTTTAAGCAGTAAAATAGTTAAATCTTAAACATCTATATATTTTTTGATAGAAAAGTGAATTTAGTGGATATTGTAGATGTTCAAACTTAAAAAAAACCCAGTAATTTTCTTAATAATTGTAAAAAATTGGAATTTTTACGCAAAACCAGTTTAGGTTATACGAATTTATTTTTATTACTTTATCGTATTTACAGAAAAAAGTTATTAAATTTTTTGCTTTATAAGTTGGTATAAATGGTATAATATGATATGAATATATTTTATTGTATTAATTAAATACTACTAATAAAATAAATGCAATATTTTTGAAAAAAATAGAATCACTATTTAAAGTATTAAAAGTTAAATAAATTACTTTAATAGCTGTATAAAAAAAATTTATTACTTGGTGCTATAGATTACTTGACTGTTTCCGTTCAGAATCGTTTTTTTGTGGACAATGATGTGTCATTGAATTCAAATTAACACACCTATAAAAGTGACCTAATCGACAACTAATCTATAGCAGAGCAGTACCACTTATACCTGTTACCTACCTTTTTAATGCTGATTTTTAATAACAAACAATTTGCTTACAATAATTTATATGTGTTCAAAGCTAGAATTTCGATAAAAATACATTTAGATTGTTAAAATTTGTAAACTATTTTGTAGTTTAAAGTGTATACCAGGGGTCACCAACCTTTTCAATTCGTTGATAGTCGAATTATAACTGATAACAGTAAACTATTTCCACTATCGCATAACTGACCTATAATGGTAAATTTAATATATATATATATATAGAATTCAATATAGCAATTATCCGATTATTTAATATGCAATCGAACAATAATGGTAAAATTAATTTTTATTTGTGATTGACTGGTTAGTGGTTACGACCCTCCTGGTTATATCTATAAGGTTTAAAAATGCATGACAATGTTCCATAAAAATTTTGTTTAAAATAATGATAAAAAAGAAAAAAAGTTGAGCGTAATTCTACAAATATTTTTATCAGTGTCAGCAATTTAAATTTTTACGAACTTGGATATTTATTTATAAAATAACAATTCTCATCATATAGTTTTAGTTTTTTTTTTTTTTACTTAATCAATAAATCATAGAAATTCGAATATTCCACTGTTATTTAATTTATGATTTTTTAGATTCAATAGAATTTTCAAAATATCTAGACACATTTTTAACTATTTATCTATTTTATCTATAGACATTTAATTAATTAGATTTTTTTTTTATTGTTGATAAAAATATTAAGGTTGCATTATAAATATTTTAATTGTACTATTTAAAATATTATGTGTGTTGAAAATTATCGAATTTTGTGGTCTTAGATAATCAATTATTTCGTAACTTAAATTATTGTCACAGCTATAGAAAAAATGTTGAAGCTAGGTATAAATTCTATTATCAGATTAAAAATAAGTTTCACGTTGTTTTTTAATTTATTAAAATAATGTAAATATACACTTTATTGTTTTGTATGGAACATAACAAATGTTACATGCAACAATAGAGGGCTCTCTTTCAGTATAGTGCTAATAAAATTAAAAATAGGTTTACACCACGAACATTGTAATATTATTGTTAAACATATACTGTTTATGTTAATACTTATCTAGGTATAGTTTTTATAACATTAATGAATTTCTAAACTATTGTCATTTATATAATGCCATCTAGTGGTTAATAATAGTAGCGATAAAAAATTTGCGATTATGTAAGATAATTTATCTTTTTGATAGAATTTAACAAATGGTTTTGTACGTAAGTACATTACGATCACTGGACACAGCATGCTCATATCGATCTTTTTTTTTGTACCTTGTATATTATTAGTTAACATAAGATTTGTACATAAGATTTTTAGAATTTTGTACATAAGATTAACGTGAATAAATGTAGCCAAGTGTAATAATTAGATAATAAAAAAAAACTTAGTACAGAGGTGCTCTTTATCAATCCTTGTTTATTGCTATAAAAAATTTAAAATTAGAAATTATTGTTCTATTGAAATTTGTATAAAAAACAGCATTAGTATGTATCAAAATTCAAGTGGTTCAAGTCCTTATATGACTATTGGTGATTGATGGAAATTAAATAAGATGTTATATCAAGTATGACCATATAAAACTGTCATAAAGTATCTTAAAGTTCTAAAGTATCTGTCTAATTAACCCTCATGAAGTTAGCAGCACAACTATAACAGACACTTATGAAATACATCCAATAAACTTGTTGATATGTTGGTATATATCTTTATCATTAGGTACTTAAACACCACGTCATATTTTTATGCATATCTATACACTATATAATATGGTATAATTATTTATCTGGTGTTGGCACATGGATAAAACCAGAATCCCTAACAATGATCAATTTATATATTCATCATAATATATTGTACATAACAATTATTTAAGTACACAACAACACAACACGTTTACAATAATAATATTTATTTTATGAACTTATTTACTAGGCCAGATAACATCGGGAAAGCTTTGATTACAGTTTTGGAACTTGGGAAGACTGGAGAGACATGGATTGTCGAAGATAACAAACCACCACGACTAATTGATTATTAAATATGATTGTATTTATTTTTTCATTAATGATAAAAAAAGAAAAAAAAACCATTGTAATGTTTTATATTTAAGTCAATACTTTTAATTTTAATTTTATTATTGAGGTAAATTAAATTCTAGTTAAATTTTCAAAGTAAAATGTAAATTATTATTGTATATTTATTTCATGTAGGTATATTATACATTTTTAGTAAGCGAAATGAATAAAACAATAAAATTGTTGTTAAAGTCTCATTATACTGGACATCTAAACACTTTGTATAATCTGAACGATAACGAACTTAAAGAAATTTTTTAATTATAACAAATTTCCAGATAATTTTAGAATTTAAGTCACTGATGAGTTATAATTTTCAAGAAATGTGCGGGTCAAAGTATAAATTTTATTTCGAATAACTCTAAGCTATCTTATGTTTGTTAACCAATAGATAATATTGTCGCCGATAAATTTTAATATTAGAGAAGTTTTAGGCCTCGGAATGCGACTGTGTTAATACTTAATTGTTAACAATAGTCAATACTGTAGTGCTTTTGAGAAGAATTTATTGATCCAAGGGAATTTAATGTCGGAAAGACGTACGTTATCGTGTTTGCCGTCTTGAAATATGGAATTAATTTTTTCACCCATATATCTAAAAACTTTGATAGTTTTATCAATGAAGTCAATTTTTTTCAGCCCTATTCGACGCGTTACAGGAAACTACAGGTGGAGCTAATGAAGTTGGTGATATTTAAATCGATCCAATAATATTATATTACTGATCGGCATCTGTAATAGTAGCTAGAGCTATATCAATCAAATGCCAAGTTATGAGCCACACCCCTATTCATTGTCTTCATCTTGCAAGTACGTAGCATGACACATTTACACTGGGCAGTTAAAATTTAGCTTTGTTAGTTTTAATGTTATACAAAACGAATTGACCTACTTATATATATTATCAAACCTGAAGGTGTAGGTAACAAAATATAAGAACAAAATTGTTTACGGTTTGTTGGAAGCGGTTTTTCGATATTTTAATTTTGAAGCAAGTTATAATAGTGTGCGTAATATTAAAATTGCATAGTGCCTGCAGCTTGATTTAAAATTAAAATATGGAAAAAAAACCGATCCCGACAAATCTGTTGAGTAGTGTTATACGCACTCGCGCTAGGCGGAGACGCCAAAGGTGGATGAGACGTGAGACGTCCTATCAATTGTCGGTTAAAACCGTCATATTTTTTTTATGAATAACGGAATTTCACAAACTCGATATAAAAAATTAACGTAAGTCCAAATATACATACATCACTGGGGCGTCACGGTCGGTTGTATATTATGTCGTTGGCACGAGCGGTTACATCGTAATATAAATATATCCGTATTAAAAACAACAACTGTGTACTCGTACGTACACGACATGATTACGAGATACGCTAAATACGCGACCGCAGCTTTTGAGTTTAACGAGATAGTTATTGATAGGACGTAAAAAAATTTCATAAATTATAAGACGTCGCTTACACCCGATACGGATGCTGAATAAGCGAGCAGTGTAATAAAATACCTAATAATACTACTATTACGATCGTTTCCGGCGATCGGAATGATTTTCTCTGTCAATAAAAAAATCTCTCTCACCAACGACGGAGAGTGTTTTTGTTATTATTATTGTTATTTTTATGTTTGGTGTGACTGTCGCCTGTATGAAATACAAGTTTGTGTTTAAAAGCCCGGTGGGCGTTGGAAAGAGTGGAATTTTATGGTCACTGTGTACGCGCCCTGTCCGACGTTCGCGACTGTATTTCCATTCACAGTAAACGTTTGGACGTCAATCACGCAAGTTTGCGCGCTCGTTGCCACTCGGAAAGTCGATCGATATTTTTATTTTTTATTTTTCTCGTGATAATTTAAACAACGATAATAATTACAAAGTGAACTTTAACCACAAAAAAAAATATATATATATATAATTATACTCCGTATTCCTATAATTAATATTGTATTATTTTTTTTTTTTTAATTATCGTTCTATAGATATTTTATAGGTAAGATGTTTGATACACAGAATATACCTACTAATAAAGTAATATCATGCACACACACATATTTATAATATATATATATGTAATTTTAATCAGAAATGTTAATAAAATATAGACATCATCATAACAATACTCATCTCCAATCTGGTAACCTATAAATTATTATTATTAAAAGTACACAACACATAATTTACTTTTAAGTACTTATAGGTGTTGTTATGCTTATGGTCATATAATATTATAATGCTTTAATAATAATTACTAAATTGCGTTTATACTGTATTTAATTTAACTCCAGCACTAGTTCATAACAGTAAGTATACACAATATTATTTTTATTTATAAATATTGACGACACCTTCGTGTACACGTCATATTTGTTGATGAAACGTTTCAAAACCAATTTTTAGTGGTGTACAAGTTATAAGTCAAACATTTTTTTTTTTTTTTGTCAAAATAAAAATTTATAATTGCATGGAAGTTAAATGATAATAATTTTGCTGTAGACAAATATGAAATAAGTAACTGTATTTGTTTACAAATGTTTTGAAAATACATAATATGTTTATATATATACACAAACACTTGGGCCAAAGTTTAGTGCACAAATATCGCTATAAGAAATCAGAGATGTTGTTTAAAAATAATATAATTAATTTTTAACTCATAATAATATAATAATGTAAATTAAATGTTAAATATTATAATGTACAAGTGTAAAACATACTTTTTTATTATTTATTAAAATAAAACATATAATAAAATGTAATTTAATTTTAGGTATTGCGTAGTAAATAAATTTCTTTGTACAATTGTTTAGAGTTGTATCAATTATACGACTATAAAATATGCTTAAATAACGTGTCAATGAATGGATTGTAATTAAAATTTTATCAATATTTTTAAAGTTAAAAGAGGCGCGGAGTTCATGGTTACCATGGACATATTCCAAAACTTCTTTTCTTGGATAGCCGCCATTTTACATAAAAATTTATACATATTAAAATATTAAAATTAAAATACACATATATTTGTTCATATGATAGCATTCCGCTGCAAGCATCATCTAATTATAGAATCCTCCTATTGACCCAGTTCCTACGAATTTAGCCTACGTATATATCATTAACTATTGAACAACACTAATGGGAACATATAGTACCTTTATCGTTTAATATAATATCTTATAGATCTATATTTTTATGTGTGTTTGATTATTTAGAAATACTCATCCACCTTTTATAGATTTATAATAATACTATGAGTTATAGCGTGATTAAAATTAACCTGTATAAAAAAAATACTGATTTTTATACTAATGCGCAAAAAATTCAACAACCCATTTGGCAGTAACAACTAATGGACTATAGGTTGTACATAATATATTATTATAATTCTGGAAGTTGATTGAATAAAAATTCCATTTATTAACAAAATATTTTAATTTGTATCTAATAAATAATTTTTTATAATATTGCGCAAAAGAATTCTATGACATCTTGTACATGAATTAATTCGTTATTGTTTTTCTCGAGATATTAAATTTGAATTAAATATTAACGATTTATTTTTTATCAATAGTTTTATAGTTCATTATTTGAAGTTCTAGCCACGTTTAAATATGGTTAAGGGTATGATAATTTTTACGTTATATATTTCATAAAGCTATTATTGTTATTACATTGACTGTCAATTTTAAACTTCGATTATTATTGTTACGGTGTAAAAACATAAAATGTTATAAACCTGTATTTTATGTACATACATGTGGTATTTTTCATCTGCATATTATTATTTATTACTTAAAATTAAATAATTGACAAAATATAGTTATTTATTTATTAAATTCTCATTGGTCTTTGTATTAAAATTAAAACTACTTGTTATTGATTTCTTTAATTTATACATTTAAAAATGTGAAATTAGATAATATAATATATAGTATTTGGATGATATTCCTACTATAAATTATTAATCAACATAAATAATATAATAATATAATAATAGAATATAATATGCCAATGGTTCATTTTTTTTTTTTACAAAATACATTGTGTCAATCGTAAATAATAAGTACAAATAAATTTAATTTGTCTTTTATCCTCGAATTTAAGTAAAATAAGCAATGAACATTAATTGATGGACTTTATCAATTGGGTAATAGAATAATAATAATAAAAAAAAATTTTTGGAACAATATAAATATAAAATTAATTTACTATAATTTTTTATATTGTTGTTGCATAGCTGGAGACTTATTGATATTTTTGATGGGTACAATTTTGTTTATTGAAATATAAATAATTATATATACATAACATACACAGTTTAATTGATTTACAATCAGCATTTGCAAGCTACTTACTACCTTCTCATATTTGTATATTCTATAAAATAATAACTTATGTGTGTATACAGCACACAAGTCTTAAGTATATTAGCACCTGTAATTAAATTCTCTTAAATGCGTTTTTTTTTTTTTAGTTAATTAAAAATTTTTTTTCCATAAATTAATTGTATTTAATTCTTTTTATTTGACTGCTTTTACATGATAATTAATTAAAAAAATATAAGAGTACACGTTTTTGCGTGAACAATAATGCAAATTTATAAGTCTACTATATTGTGAATTGTGACAGCATGACATGAATGAAAATAATAATATAATTAATATAGATATTAGGATAACAAATATTAAAAACCCTACAGTTCGATAAGATTTTCCTTTATTATATTGTCAATGTCAGATAAAATAAAATAATCATTAAGTTGTAATAAAAGACATTATAAGTTGAGAATTATTATTGAATTTATTATGTAAAATGAAAAATATAAATTATCCGGCATCTTTGGTACTATTTAAAATAAAATAAAAACTACAATAATATCTTAAATTAATTTCAAAAATATAATTTACTATTTATTTTAATGAAAATAAGGAACAAATTATTTATTGGCAATCGCTTATGATTTAATAGATTAATAAATTTTAATTTAATTTTATGAATTTCTTTTTACCAATTATGCTGTCGTGCATTCCAATTAATAATAACTTAAAGAGATTTTTCAACGAAAAACACTAAAACTTCACTATGTTTATAAAATTATTTCATGTTTTATAATTAATTAAATACTATTAATAATACCCATACTTAAAAATCAAACTTTCAGTTGTTACCATTTATTTTATTTATCAAAGAGATTTTTTTTATTTTTATATTTTTTGTATGGCGACTGGCCATATTCTTAACTTTGAAGTAGGGTATTTTTTAGTTTTTTTTTTTTTTTTTTTGATAATTTTTATGTACGTAAGAAGTATTGATTATGCAGTTTATACAGTAATATATTATTTATAAAGCATTTTAAGTTTTGTTGTAAAATAGTACGAGCATTTGAAGGGTAGCCCCTTACTATTTTGTACTTATATACAGCCATACTCAATGATTTAATTCTTAATAAAATTGTAAAATGTATAATTCACATTGTTGCATTATAGATATAATTACTATTATGGTATGTTAATTAGACGTTGTTCCTTTAACTACCTACCTTAATATTATATAAATATAATATTTTTGTCCAAGTATTATATTTACTATTAACATTATACTGTTTATAAAAACATCTTAAATATTTTAAAAATATATTCATTATGTCATATTTGTTTTTAAATTATAATTTGATAATTTTGAAAAATAAATGTCGCAATTGATCGTAGATCAATACATAGCTTAAATTCTCTGAAAATATAAAGCACGACATCATTATAAATATTTTAAAATTTTTGTTCATATAAAAATTAACATAAATATATAGACATATAAATATATATAAACATTGGTTTGTTTTTATACGAAAATAAAATAAATATGAGAAATGCACTTTTAACTCCTCAGTCCCACGCCATATTACACTGTACCTACAAGGTAATAGGTATATATTTATTATAAATATATACGCTTCTAACTTATTAACCAAGTTTTAGTGTCGTCATCGCGTTTAAGGTTATTCGCCATTATTAATATTGCATCTGTTACCTACACAAACAGTTATATTCTATACGTCTCTGCTATTATAAACCATATTGTACAACTGTATAATATTAATTTGGAGAAAATCATTGAATGAAAAACACTATTGTAGTATTGTCTAATATTTTTATCTATGATTAAGGTATGCTGCATCGTGTATGTGGTTAAAATAATAAATAATAATTTAAAAAAAGTTCGTATTTATAATTACATAGACACAAAAAATACTATATTCTATTATAACATGTAAGACAGAGGAGAAAAACGTGACACAATAACGTATACAAGCGACAGTTATGTACATGTAGGCACTGAACCATCAGAACATGACCATATTTGAATGAATATAGAAATCTATGGTAACATTAAAAAAAAAAAAAAAGTAAAACGTAACAAAAATTAATAAAATCGTTTTCTATTAAAAAAAAATACTTGTATATTATTATTATCATTTATTTCCTTTAGTAATCGTTAGTGAGTCCGAGCGTAATAATATCAGCTATAAAACGGATTATTTATTTCTGACGTTAAAAATAATTAAAAGATGAAAAATTCTATTTAATGAAATAAATATTTATTTTATATTGTGCAGTGTATAATATTAGCCTATTATACAATTATAAAATACTATAAACTTGAATAAGTTTATAATATAGAATGACGTAATCATTTTCAAACCTTCTTAATATTCATGACTAAATACTAACATTCCCAGTAAATTGTTCTCTATTGTAAGATATGCCGACAATAATTTATGGACACGTGGGCTGTAAATATTAATATCAATTTTGCACCATTTAAATGTGATTATAGCTATATACAGCTGGCAATAAGTTTAGAATTATTATATGACCAGACATAACGTTTTTGTTTATTTAATTCGAATTTCAAGGGCTACAATTTTATGAAAAATGTATTTGTTGTTCATACAAAATAAATTATCGATAACACAGTATTAATATATTATGTAAATGTGTATAGATTAGGTCACATGATTACTCATATATATAAATCTATACCAAGATAATTTTTATATTATTAATGAATCATAGAAGACTTTATATTATAATATTTATAGTTGAACAATATATAAAACATTTTTTTTTAAATTATTATTGCTAATAATTTTTATTTTTCTTAAAATTATATGATATTATATCGAAGAGTAATTATATTATTAAAAAATATGTGTGAAGTGTTGTCTGTTTTTTTTTTAATATAAATTAATATACCTATTAATATTTTAATTTTCTAGATTTATAAAAATGTCTCATACAGTGACAGTTACCAGGACCACAACGTCTACAACATCTGCTATAATCCTAAATACTGGTTACGTAAAATCGGTGCCTGGATTATTAAAATTGGCCGAAGTTGTAAGTATATTTTGCATAAGTTTTATGTAAAAGTCGATAGTTAATATCTCAATTGGAACAAAGCATTTGGTTGTTCAATATTTGTTACATATCTATTATCTTAAAGGCTGTAGTTACTTAAGAGTCTAGACATCAATACATCATGCAAGCTACTAATTAGTTTGCAATTATTTTATTATTATTTTGTTAGTTTTATAAATGGCATAATAATATTGCGGAAGCTTGTAAATAATATATTATTTCACTTATAAAAGATGAAATAAAATTCAAGGTAAAAGTAAAATATTAATAAATTGATATTATACAAATAAACTATTTCACAAAATTATAAATATTGTTCGAAAAATAACAAGACATTGAGTGAGGTAGGTACCTACCTAAAGTATTGAACTTGTTGAATGTTTTAGAATAAAATGTATTAATGTTTTTCAATAAAATAATAACAAGATTCATTTCAAGTGCCTACGTAAATGTACAATAGGCATGCACGTAAAATACCCTTATAACAGTTATAACAACCTCTAAAAAGCAAATGTTTACCTATTACAATACTTTAAATAAATAATTTGATCTATTTAGACGAATAATAAGTACATGGTTGAAGGTTGTTTATTCGTTTCATATTTCAAAGTAGATGCCCTCTCAAAAACTATGTATATAGCAATAGTAAAATAATGAGTGTATTGAAATATTAAACAATATTTTTTTCATGCGTTTTCTGTGAATATTTTAAAAGCGATCAATAACTGTTAAAATGGACGAACGAATTCTATAAATATAAATAATTATGTATATTACGCTTGCGTCACGCTTAAAACGCGCGTAGAGACAAAATAAATAAGAAAATCTCCAATGTCTAAATCACGTCATTTTATTATAATTTATTATGATGTTGATTGTTGATGTAGGTATACAATATTATTATGCTCAACGACCGATTATGGCATTAAACCGTTTGCACCTAATATGTATTGGACATGAAATTATTTATGCCTTGGCGCTGTTTCGATATAGGTACCTAATATATTATATTAAAGCGAACGGGGGTGGGCGCGTCGTACGGGTACATAATCATTACGTCCACTATAATGAGCGGTTAAAATTCCGAAACATGGTATAGGATGATGTCATACACCTGGAGATTAGATCGGTACAGGTAGATAATTTATCATAAACTATTTTGTTGCCGAATTTATGGAAATAAAAACAATAATAATAGAAATAAGAAATAAAAGTTTATTTGTTGTTGTTGTCGTTATATTATTTAAGAAGATAAAAATATGTATACGTTTTTACATATTTATTCCAGAATAATAAACTCCAAACAGATATCATGTCTGAATTTTATTTTTTAAATCATTATTTGTCGAGTTCAATACAGATAATAGGTATTAAGAATATATAATATATTTATATAATCAATAGTCATAATTATAATTTATAATTCATAATATAAGTATTTTTGTTTATTATTTTATTTTTCTAGAAACCACACGCTATACTGTACTATATATATTATATAAAATACTTAAATTAAAATAAAACAATAAAATAGTGAAAAGTATATTGTATATAATTAAAATAAAATATTTTACTAGAAACCAATACATTTAATTTGATATAATATGTAATCTAATATATTTATTTAAATTTAATATAGGTATATCTAGGTCAAGTGTCCAGGGTGTGTCTCTAGAATACGTATGTTTATTGAAAAACGTGGTCGATAATATATGTTTTGTTGCCCGGAAGGGCTGTGGCGCCAAACACTCCCCTTCAGACAGGATTTTTATGTACACTGTATAGAATATACGTTTTACAGTTAGCTATATTGAAACTACCGAACTGGAAAATGGTTTTAATTTCGTCCTTGGAATAAAAACCACAATGCATCGATGAACCATTTTTTATAAGAAAACATCATTTACAAATTAATAACAAGATGTTACATCTGGATTATAGTAAATTAGTGGCCTGTTAGTTTAAATTTGTTTAATATTTAAATAAGTATATCGAATAGATTCAGGGTCTTGCGGTTGCACATTTATTTTAGTACCTAAATAATATTCCTTAGATTGGTAGGTTTTTTATGTGTCACATCAAGGACATAATATTGTAGCCTGTTGCCATTTAAAATGTAAATAAATATAATCCATACTCACACCTTTATGATAGTCCACGCTGATACAGGGTATTTCGTCATGATTGTCCTCGTCCATAGTCGATACCCATTTATTATTAGTCTATAGGTTAGATACTTACTTCAAAACGTAAATACTAAATACTTACTTAAATCCTTAACATATAAATTGATTATTCAACTCTTAAAATGTTTTAAGTACTTACATAAACTATACCCATAGGCAATCTCGGATTAATATGGGGCACGGTCCCGAGGCCCATCTTTATCTCCAATACAAATGTATATTTTTAATGCTTTTAAAAAAGTAAAAAAAAAAAATGATGTTAGTTGGTACCGTAGATAATTAATAACTATAAAATAAAAATGTTCTTAATTTTAAATTACAAAAAATTATTAAATGATAATAAATGATGCCCTTAAATTATTATTCTAATAATTTATTAATAGCATATAAGTAGTAACTGGTAATAATTAATATTAGATATTCTCATAGACATAAGGTCTATGGATATTCTTCTTGATCTATTTGCATGAGGTGTCCATATATTATAAAAATAATTGTTCGGCCGAAAGAGCATTTTCCGAATTAACAAAAATAAAAAATAAACATAGAACATGCCAGACTAAGAATTTAAACTATTATTCTTTTAAAAAATACAGTGTTTATATATATATAATAAATTCTTATTAAACTATTAATTTATATAGCCTTATACATATATTTTTTTGTGCTGACAAAATATACAATAATAATATATAGTTTTTAAAATGTAACGATACAATTATTTTTAAGTTAAAGTTGAAAGGGGGCCCAAGTTTATGGTATCCTGAGGCCAATCAATCCTTAATCCGGGCTTTCCCATAGGTTAGATATCTTATAATTCCAAGTGACATACTCTAACAAGTAAGATTAATTTTAATTTAATTCAATAAAAGCCAAAACAATTCAAAACTATAATAAACGTAATTATGATTTTCAAAAATAGTAATTAAAAAAATAATTGTTGATGTGATCAAATATGGTGGGTGTATATAACTAGTGCATTATTAAAAAAAAAAAATAAAATAAATATAAAAATGATGTATAAATTCAAATAGTTCAATTGTCAAATAGGTCCTAAATGATAATGTGCTATATACGTTATGTAAATGTGAATAAAGTTTTTTGTAGGATTTAAATAACAGACTTCTATAGTTCTATAGACATACTTTTAATTAATAGATAATATTTATATTAAAAAAAAAGAAGAAATGTTTTGGAATATTCTAATATTTTATGTATTTTTTTTTTTCAGATTTTAGGAGGTATTGTCTTGGGTCTGTTGATTTACAACAGGGAAAATTTATGTCATTGCTGGGTGTATGGCACGCATAACGCGCAACTTTTTTTTTTGGGTACAGTTAGTGCGTTTTTCTTAACGAGTCTTCTATTGTTGATTTCTTGTCTTTTGTCAATTTCCACTGGACCTATCATATCTAAAACTAACTTTGTAAGTATATATTATAAATAAAATAAAATATATGAAATTATAGTCCACAAACTATATGATTTTATTTATTTATACCAATACCAAAGAAATTCATGTAAACTATGGTTAGAAATAATATTTAACATAGTATAAGGCGTCTAACTTAGGCGACATAGTTAATAATTAAATAGTCAACACTACCGCTATGAAATTTAACTGTACTTATTAAATTTATATTTAACTATAGTATATAACAAATATAATGTACTTTTTAATAAATACTAAGCATTCATTACTTACTTTTTATACTTACCTACCTATTTATTCAATCTACCAATTTGAATGTTTAATGTTTGTTATCAATCATTGTTTTGATTTAATTTACGAGTACATAGGTTACCTATTACTAATTACAAGTTTGGTTTCTACCTATGTTAAAATATATAATAAATAATAAGTAGTTAATTAATATTATTGATTTTAAAATATATATTTAAAAATGACTTGATATGTACTGGTGAGTGCTTAGTCGAGTACCTATAAATTTAAACTATTAAAAAATAAATTAACAAACTAGCTAAAAGAATTTATTTGAATAATGTAAACAATGTCTTCGCAGGAATTCATTTACCATGGCGCTGGATTTGTACTTTTGCTGTTGGCATCTGTGTTCTTATTGCTTGATGCAAATGATAATAGTGGCCGTAACCCACAGAATCACTTTGTGATTGCATCAGTAAGTATTTTATTCTTTTAAGAAAATAAAATTGCTTGTTCTAAAATACTTATATTTGTGTGTTTAGATTCTGGGATTGATAATGGCAGCTTTTTACTTGCTAAGTTCAATCTGGGGTTATAGGTCATACAGAGGCCCATGAATACCCTGTCAATAATATTTTGCACAAGAAGCATAGCCATATAGACAAGGAAAAAGGACGACTACCAAAAAACGCACAAATTAATTAAGGACAAAAAGCAGCTTAATATTTGTATAATTTATTGTATAAATTATTGTTGTCAAGCATTATTATGAGTTTTTATATGGTCTATCAAACTCTTTATACGGTCATGTCCTCAGAACTTATATATTAATTTTGTTAACTATGCTTATGAGTTACGACTTTTATTATACCAAATGTGTTTGTGTTATTTTTTAAGTAAATTAAGACAAAAACCTTATTGCCATCTGCTCGTGTTTAACGAAAAATTAAGCATCTTAAGTTTATTTTAATTGCATTGTTCAAATCATTTTACATTTAAGTAATAACTTTGTGCCTTATGTATTTATTTTATTGTACATTTTTCAAGTGTCTTAAAAATTTGAATCAAAACGTATGCTCGCATTTATTGAACTAATATTATACATACATTTATAAATTTTAACACAACTAAAATAGACTTGATTTTTGTAAAATATTAATGTTTTTAAAATATAATTCATATAACTTGGTAAAAAATAAGTTAATTTTATTAACCTGCAACATTTTTTGTTCATATTTTAAATGTTAGTAGTTATATGTAGATTAAAATAACATGACATACGGGTGTTCAGAATGTTTAAAAATACCATATTATATTACTCAGCAGGGGGTGGTCACAATTTATAACATGGATACTAAACAATGATTTATCCACTTAGTCTACTAGTTTAGTATGTGCAGCATACTATAAAACAAATTTAAGAAGTGTAATTACAATTTTGGAATAACTATTAATAAAATGTATAGAATAAGTAGACCCAATGTTGGGTCAACATCCCAGTCTTGTATATGTTCGTGTTTTAATATGCAGTACTTTACAACATCATATGGAATTTTAAAAATTATTCAAATAGTAAGTACCTACAAAACGATATTTTTGCCAATATTGGATTTTAAAATGTTGCTATTATGGTCTATTATATATCTATTTTGTGTTTATTTGAAACTGGTACCATAAGTACTTTTAATTATGAAGATTGAAGGTACATCAACATTTATAAAATTATACATCTTGTAATAGTTTATTTACATCCATATTAGAAGATATTTTAGTGTAATTTAGATTCCTATTCAAATGTATTTTATACATTCATAATTAAATATGAAATGTATTAAGGCTTTCTGTAAATACGTTTTTGAAGAGTTGTGATTAGGTAATTATTTCGTTATAGGTAGGTAATTTATTCTTATTTCTTATTTCGTTTTTCAATGACTGGATAAAAATATTCAAAACCAATTTATGGCCATTGCATTGACACAAATTGAAGTACTTTAAGAGATTTGATTTAAAAAATGTAAAGATATTTGAGTTAGTAAACGATTTTACTTTGCATTGGTCGGAGCACTTTTACAATTTTAGAAAATTCTTAATAAGAATAAATATTTTATATTTTATAAATTTGTAAATTTTAATATTTAATATATTAAAATATATACTCAGGATCTGACCAATACAAAGTAAACTTATTTATCAATTTAAATATCATAAATTTTTTAAATCGAATCACTAGAAGTACTTTAATTTTAGTCAGTCGCAAGGGTCATTTTTATAAAAAAATTAACAAGATTTATAGGGGCCTTAATAAAAATTAAATAATTAATAACTTTTTCTAAGTTTTATACAATTTCACTAATAACTCATCACAGTAAAACTTATCCTTATAAGCTAATTAAATATTCATAGAACATCAAGAGGATGTTATATGTTGTCTATGTCTTACTAAAGCACAAAATAGAGCATTTAGTATTTAGAAGAATCTATTTTACTATGTTTCTTTTAATATTAAAGCATATTGGCCTATTTTTAAATCTTAAGGTAAGAATATTACCTAGCATCCTTAAAGTTTTTTTAATGTTTTGATTTTGAAGCAAGTTATGAGTGTTTTAAACTTATAAATTGTTTGTTTATTTTAAATCAATTTTTCTGAATAATAAGTTTGCCATATTTTACGTAAATAAAATAGAAATTATATATGAGGATAAAACGTTTTTTTTTATCATTTAATAATTTTTTTTATTAAATAACATTTCTAAGTAATGTAACAAATTAGTTTTAACATTTAATAGTAATACCAATACAATGAAATGATTACTAATTTTGCATTTCCTATAGTAAGTTTCAATTAAAGCGATTAGTGATTTCAGTACATTAAAGGTAAATTTATAATTTATACAGCATTATTTGACTAATATTTACATATTTTAATTGAATAATATATTTTCAATTGATAAAGACAAATTATACATTTTAGTTAATATGCATATAGAAACATAATATTTTTAAATATTTTATCCAAGTTAAGTGATAAACTATAGATAGTGTTTACTGATTTAAATTATTGGCTTAATAAATGATATATTGTTAGTTGACACATTTGTAGATTTTGTTTTTTTAAATGCCTAAGTAGTTTTAAAGTAAAATTATAAAATATGTATACATGTTAAAACATTTAATAAAATACATTTTGACATCAATGAGTAATTTTTTTTTTTTTTATATATATTGGATATATTTAACATTATAGTAAAACAAGGTTTGACATAGAATATTATATTTGGATAATTTTATTTATTGTGTATTTATTTAGATATTGGGGTCCATTTGTCAAAGTATAATGTTGTTCTATGGTACAAAGTACATTCCAACATTTGGAACATCATATGAATCATTTCTTACTACTGTTGCTGGATGTTTAATGACAACAACTGTTATTAGTACATCTTATTTTTTATCAAAAAATACTGAAATACTTGTTAGATCATCACTTTTTGTATGTATTATAAAAATATATAAATCATGATTTTTAAAATTTAGATTGGTATTTAAATTAATTTATGATTTATTTTTCAGGAAATAATTTTTGGAATCTTTGCATCTATCTGTTATTTGAGTTCTTCGTCATTACTAACAATAGCGGTCTATACATTAATGTATCCAATTATTATGAATATACCATTTACCTCCTTATTTTCAGCAGTAATATTGGCTTATGTAAGAAAAATAAATAAAATAGTTTTTCAAAAGCTTTAACTCATTTAATTTTGGTTTTCAGACATTAGGATTTATTCTTGGAGTTATTTATGCAATTGATGCATATTGGGCGTTTAAATACTACAAAGGATTTTCATAAAAAATTTACTAAGTTTGTTTATAACTAAATAATATTAATAATAATCATAATAATAAAAAAAATGTATTTAAGACAAAAAAAAATCTTTTTCAAACTTACTATACTTATATTCTTAGAAAAAATAACAAATCAGTGTTGCTGTTCCAATGAGTTGTTATAATATTTGGAAAAACTACATTTATTACATTTAGATACATAGGACTGAACGGCTTAATCGTAAATATCTTCACGGTCACACACGTATTGCACAATATCTTTAGGTTTATGCAACTTTTCAGCGTCTTCATCAGGTATTTCAAAACCTGTACAGTTTTAAAACAATGTTATTACTTGTATTTTGTGTAAAAGTAAAATTAATTATGTACCAAATTCATCTTCAATAGCCATGATAACTTCAACATGATCTAATGAATCTAATCCAAGATCATTGATAAAATGTGATTCAAGACTGAGCTGAAATAACAATATATTTTTCAATGAGATAAGTAAAATATAAAAATAATAATTCTAGGCTATATATATTTGAATCCAATCATTGTTGGTAATGGCCATATTTCAATTAAAAAATAGACATTTAGTATAAATTATTAAATATCAATGGTCTAAAATTAATTTCTTTAAGTAATTCATTTTCAATATAAAATTGAAATGAACGTAACTCAATTAGTCATAAAACTCAATATACCTTATCTGGATTGACCTTGTCGTATAATTGTAATACCAATAGGACACGTTTTTTAATTTGTTCAATAGTCATCGGTGGCTTGACACTGTAATGCCGCATAACTGTCTGAAATTATAATAAAATAATATTTACATAGGTACCTTGTCAGTAATGAATTTATCATACACATTGCACACTTTCATCACTTAAGTTTTTAATTCAATCACAGACAATCTATTGGCTGCTGTTACGTTTGAATACCATCAACTATTGCCAGCTTCAAACTAAGCCTTTTAATCGTAAATTAACTCGTTAGTGAGTACCTCATTCATACAACAAACGCAGATATCTCACTGCCGCCCAAAATTTCAAATGTAAAAATAAATTTGTTCTTACCACCGGTACTCTGCATGTCTGAAGATTAAGGTTATTGATGATTTTCGATTGACTTAAATACCGTTTACCTGCGCACATCGGGTAATGTCTCAATACCCGTAAACTGGTATTAGTGAAGAACGTACCACACAAGACTTTCCCAAGGGACGCCATCATATATATTTTTAAAAATGTACTTTATTTTTGTACAAATTATTTCTATATATTAAACTTAAAAGAAATAAATAGCGAAAGCGAGCAGCAGCAGTTGAAATAGCCTGAACGAGAATATTATCAAGGTTGAAGGTCGCAAGCTGATACACCGCAAATGGAAACATATGTTTATTATATAGTTTTTAGGTTATATGGATTCAGTCGTGTTGTTTTTATTTTTATATTTGGGGAGAACAGCCATAGATAATAATATGTATTATCAACGATGAGATAAGCCGCGTCTGATAAGCGATATCTATTTAACAGGTTTATTATCTGTGTTCGAATTATATATTATTTATTTTCGTTTTCATTTCACATTTCACAATATAAACAATTATATTATTCTACTGGTGGGATTCACTCTATCGTCACCACATTACTGAGGTCAAAGATCCGTGATATTACTGATATTAGCAAATAATGTAACGATGGAATTATAAAAACATGGATTAAAAGTTAAAACTCTAATGCACCAACAACATTAAATTTATATACGCTTAGTAATAGTATTCAAATTTGGTAGTACAAACACAGCTACTACCTTAATTTAATTACTCAGATTTTTTTATTCTGTCCTTCATCTACAGCCTACAATAGTGCCTTATATTTAATATAAGATAATTACAATATCAATGATTGTGGTTCGTTTAAAACTTTAACTTAACTAACAACCAACCTCTTTTGTGGATGTGCATTCATTACTATTCCTTACTAAAACAGAATAATGGTGAGTAAAATGTTTCATTGTTGTTTTGTTTATTTATTAAGTTAATTTTTTTTTTCATTAGTGTTGGATATGAAAAGAGAATTTTAAATTAAATTTAAATACTTAAAAATAATAATCCAAGAACAAAATAAAATAAATATATTGCCTGTTTAAATGTATCACTGGGTTTGTGATGATATTACTAGAAATTTATTTAAAAGATCACAATAACTCATTTTTAGGGTGTGCTTTTTTATGCAATATAATTTATGTAAGTAATAAAAGTATTGAATTAAAAAACAAATGAACAAGATCAACTAAAGTACTAGAACAGTGCCTTCAACTAATATGTCTTATAGCTTTTGAAAATTTTTTTTCATAATAATTTTAGTAAAGACAATAATAATCTAATAAAATATAAATTAATTTATATTAATGTATTATGAAATACAGTTATATCTATTTAATTTGGCTTAAGAAATTAAATAATGACCTAAAGCACAAAAAAAAAAAGTCTTCGTTGAAGAAATAGTTGACCATTTGTTTTTAAGAACATTGCATACCATATTAAAAAAAAAAGACTTAAAACCATTGCATTAGAGTAGTCAATTGTATGATAGAAATGGCAAATTGTTACCCTATTTTATTTAATTTATTACATTTTACTCAGTTAAAATGTATGACAGATTGACCATAATATTTCACAATATTAATTTATTTAGTATGCTATAAAACTGTAATAATTTTTAATCAAAATTAAGAAATCTATATTCAATAAAATTATGTATTTGTATAAAAATACTGCACTTCACTTACTTTCATTTAGGCTTAATTTTTAATTAATGAACATATCTATTTATACCTATTATTTTTTTTACTTTTTGTTGATTATAAAATAAATACACTTTAAAACTTTTAACATGTTGACTGCCATGCAGCCACCGTTGTCTTTATAAAAATAACTAGGTGATGATAATTTTTAGACTGCCGGCTGCCACACCATATCATTTCTAGGAGGCCATACCAATGTCGTATTTTCAAATGTTTTTTTTTGGGGGGGGTTGAGACCCAGGAACATCCCCCGTAAATATGCCACTGGGCCATACGGCTGTGGGCTGCCGTAAATTAATTTAGATTTATATTATTAATTTTTCCATGGCGCTTCAAAAATGATCTAGATACTGCGCTGTAGCATAGCGGTAATAATTGCAATTTTTTTTGATGTAATAAACATAATTTTAACATTTTTTTTTTTGTATTTTTAATTTTTTTTCAAATTCAATAATATAAATACAAATTTATAATGACACTGAAAAATGTCGTTGACATACCCACGATAAATATTTTTGTGACTGCCAGCGGCTGCATGGCAGTCAATGTGTTAATTTAATTTTGCAATTAGCAAAATTGATGATGAATGAGTTAATAGTTTAAGGTAGTATGAGGCTCGTGTGAACATCTATTTATTTATTCAATCAATCACAATTCCATTTATGTTACAGTTATCTTTTAATATCTTCTGTACTTATTGATATAATGGTATTTACTGTGTCTACTGTCTACTCAATAAACTTTATGGTTTGTAACATAGAATAATAATACCTATTTATTAGTTTTCAATCAATATTTTTTCAGAGATTGTATTACCTGTTCATTGCTCATTCAATAGGTAACTTTCAATAATAATATAATTAAATATATCCCCCTCCCTCATAAATTATTGTATCTATACCAAAAATCCTAAAGTATAAATTAATAAGTAAATAATTATGAATGATGTACCTAGTTTTAATAAAAACAATTAAATTGGATAAGTTGATGGATGATAAGTTTATTTATTTTTTTTAATGTGTTGTAATACTATTTTATTGCAACAGACTTTATTGTTGTAGCTAAAAGATAATCTAGGATATTATTTTTATTTATTTATTTTTAAAAGAAATACCACCTATCATATATTATTTTATATTTTGATCATTATACAGACAAATACCAATTAAATGTAAAGGTCATACCTATTCATTAGTCTACATAGTTGAATATTATTTATTATATTAGGTACCTATCAATAATTTATAAATAATAAAATAATAATTTAGTTATTTATTTTTAAATAAAAAATAGGTATGTACAATGTACATAGTATATGTATAATTATTGAATAATATTTGACTTCTATCAGTTGACTGTATTTGTGGCTTGGCTTCTTATTCATATTCTTGCTATCATCATGTTCACACATAACCATCATTACATGTAACACTTATAAATAACTGGGATTCGTTAAAAGAATTTCAATAGAGTTTAAAATTGCCAATCCACTTAAATCTTTTTATTGTGCTTTCATTATACCTATTCTTGAATAAAACCCTATGATTTTTCATTGTGCTGACTCTAGTGGTCATCTTGAAAGTATTCAAAGGAAGTTTCTTATGACTACTCCTTCGTAATATCTAAGCTCAAAATATTTTTTTTAGCTGACTGTCGTTGTTCCCATAACATAACCTTCCTCAAAATCTTATTATATCAACTGTTGAAATTCTTTTTCATTTCTTTTTCCTATTAATTTTAAAGTGCTTTTGCAGACTATTTTCTAAAAACTCCTTTCTACATGACAAATTATATTTGAAGCAAAAAAATTAATAGATTAATAAAATTAGCAAATAAGTATACTTCTCTTTTCTCATTTTATAAATTTGGTTGTAAATATTAATTCTTAAGCTTGTAAATGTTGCTTTATCATGTCATGTGATATGTATCATATTTACTTAGGTGCAGACTCATTTTTGTTATAAAAACATAATAGCTTTTGAAAAAAATCTAGTTTTATAAATTATAAATTATATATTTTCTTTAAAAGTCGACAAAGTTTTTAATTTTTTTTTTTAGAAAGTTTTATTTTTATGATTTAAATTAAAAGTTTTTAATTATGACATACCAATATATTTACTATAACTTTTTTTATGTTAAATAACAAAATAAATCTCTAATAAATAATAATGCAATAAATGTGATAATGTTAATTACTAGTATATGTATATGAGTATATGGCTTTAATTAAAAAATATTATGAACAAAATATTCTTAGATATATCATAAAATTTAATATTTAAAGGTATATGTATAATTTACAATGTATACAATTATTAAAATGTTATTAATGGAGAATATATTTTTGTATGGTAATTTAGTGATTAACATACATTTTTTTTTTCAATTTACAGGAATACAATCAAAATATTTCTGATTATAAATATTCTGTGTCAGATTTAATTTTAACGAAACAACAACGTGATTTTTATGAAATAAATGGATATTTATTAATTCCTAAACTAATACCTGATTATTTGTTAGACAGATGCTGGTAATAGTTTATTTTGAATAAAAATGTTGAAATGTGTATTAAATAAGCTATAATATTATACTAATGTCTAATACAAATGTTATTTGTGAAATAATAGCAACCGATTTATAGACTTATGTCATGGAAAAGTTCCAAGAAATCAAATAACTATGATGAAAGACATATCTCGTATGAAAACAGGTGAACAAGGCGAATACTTATTTGGTAAAGCTCAAGATATTCTTTGGGATGAAGAATTTTATGAATATGCTAGATATCCAAAGGTACTATTCAAATAGCAGGTTAGATAATCAGTAATTAAGTAATTTTATTTTTAAACTTAGATGTTGGACTATATAGAAAGCTTTATTGGACCTAATGTCATGGCCATGCATTCAATGTTTATCAACAAACAACCAGATACTGGTTCTAATAGTTCTCGCCATCCAGTTCATCAAGTATAAAATTATATTTTGCATTTAAAATTTTAGTATATTGACTATGTGTAATAGAAAGTAGTAAGTGAAAATCTCTACTTTCCTATAAATATTAAAAAATGGTCTCATTTATGTTTTGACTGTAATTGTAGTTTTTTTCTTCACAAGTTATTTAATATTAAAAATAAATATTAGTACATCTGTCATTTAAATATTAGCAATAAAAATTATGTACAGCATTGTTTTCTGCAAGATGATAATACAGCCTAAAATTGACTAATTCTTTTTTGTCTTCTCATTTTGTGTTATATGAAATACTGTATGAAGCAGTTGTTAATTTATGTTTATTTTTTTAAGGATCTTCATTATTTTCCATTTCGTCCTGCCAACTTGATTGTAGCGTCCTGGACAGCTTGTGTTCCAGTTACAGTGAATAATGGGTGTCTATACGTATTACCAGGAACACATACTGGTGATTTGTATCCTCATAATTATCCGGAACCTAAAGACGTTAGTTCAGTTTATTTATAATAAAATTCAAATATTTAAATATTTATAGTTGATAATTACATTTTGTATTGAATTAAACATGTAATTGTAATTTTTTCAGGGAGAAATAAATAAAATGTACCATGAAATAAAAACTAACAATAATCATGATGATAAAAAAAAGGTGTTTTTGGAAATGGAGAAAGGGGATACAGTTTTTTTCCATCCTTTGTTGGTTCATGGATCAGGAATAAATAAAACACAAGTATACATTTTAAACTAAGCATTTGTTATTTATAAAATTACATGCATATTTTCATTTTTTTCTCTAGGGATTTCGTAAAGCAATTTCTGTTCATTATGCTTCATCCAACTGTGACTATATTGATGTAACTGGTACAACTCAAGATAACATAAAAAATGAAGTAATTGATGTAATGGCTAAAAAGGGAATTACAAATGTTGATTACACAGTATGTATTTAATATTTTAGTTATAATATTGTTTAAATATTAATTTTATATTATATTCGATCTTTTTTTTTTTTTTAATAGTTTGCCTGGAAACATCGTTGTCGACTGATTCGAGGATTCAAAGCCAATTTGTAATTGTAAAATAAATTCTATTATGAAATTGAAATATTCAAATATGGTTGTGGATTTTATGTTAATTTATGTTGTATTTACATAAACTAACTTCTAATATCAGTGATAATCAATGGTGTATTGAAGTATATTAGGAAGTATACAGAGTATAGATATATTAATATTTATAAATAAATGTGTGAAATTGAAAAAAATAAAAATTGTATAAGTTAATGGTAAATGGTGTTCTACTAATGCATTATTTTATTATCTATTTTAAATTTATTGTTACCTGTGGGCTGTTGACTGTTGTGCAATCAAATAGCCTACTTAAAATATTTATAGCATTTAAAAATAAATTTATATTTTCCGCACATTGTGTAGATGATTTGTATACTATTCTTATATTGTTTGAAATTTAAGGAGTAACAGAAGTATGTTTTTTGATTAATTTTACAGCGCAGCAAAAAAACATTTTTGAGTTACATTTTAGGAAAATATAACACTCAAAACACTCAGTTGATAATTGTATTTACTTATAAAGTTGTAACACTTACTATTTAAATTATAAAATATATTTCACTTCAGTGAAGGGAGGTCTACTTAGCTGGTGGTTATTCTACTTCAAATTCTTTATGAGCAAATATATGACATAATTGCAACTTTAACATTATAATCAAATACTATAAATGCATTTTTATGATTAAATGTAATACTATTTAATAATAATTATAATGGTTAGGTAATTAATACATTTAAGTTAAATAAAACTTATAAACAATGTTTTGTTTATAAATTATCTACTATAAGAAAATAAAAATTGTTGAGTGTTAATATTTCAATTAAGTCACTTAAGATGTGGTTTTATTATTTATTGATGTAGTCCATATCCATTAGATAAGTATAGCTTTAGAAATTTAGGTTTAAACACTGGTGTTTGTTTCAACGAACACGCAAACTTTAGAATAGGTATCATAATTAAAAAAAAAAATTAGTTTTTTTAATATATTTAAAATTTAAATAATAAACTTGTAATCACATAACATTGTAAATAGGTTACTAAAGTTACACCACTTTCATCAATGCGATTTGTTTTCAATATCATATATTTTGAATTGATTTTAATCGTTATGATGATAATAATAAATCATTGTGTTAAAATATTGATTACCTGTTTCTACAACCATGGTTTTTTTTGATGAAATCAATAAAATAAATACAGTGGAATAGGTATACAAAACCTATATAATAGTGAGGAAGTTAAGGTCATAACACTCGTAATTGTGTTTCACGGAATGTCATGAAATTATATATTATTTACTGGCATTTTATTGGAATTATTTAGGACATGTCAATTATTTGATTGAGGTCGAGATGTACAACTGTTAACCGTATTCCGGTACGTCCGAATTGCATGCCAACTCTTAGAGGAATCTGTCCGAATTGCATGCCGGGTATCTACAAGTTTAACTTTATTTATCATGCACTTAGGTACAACTTAAACTTTATTTTTGATTTTTCTATTATTTAAAAAAAAAAAAACGCATGAATAGAAACTAATTAGTTTCTAGATTGAAATATTTTTATATCTGAGTAAACATTTTACCAAATTGAAAAAGATGACACTGTGAATATTAAGTAAAACGATTGTAATTTAAGGTAAGCAATCAAGTGAATATATTTCACATTTTTATATGTCATTACAAATAAATAATAATATTATAAAATTTAGTGTTTTTTTTTTTTGACAATTTACAATATTTTATAAGTTTATAATAATAAAATATGTTATATATTATGGTATATATATATAGGTATGCTATATGGTAAAAACCATATATCATAAAGCGTTTTTATTCATGATTTTTTTTTTTAAAATTTAGAAAAGTCAAAAATAAAGTTTAAGTTGTGCACATAAGTGAATTGTGCATAATAAATAAACTTGCAGGTACACGGCATGCAATTTGAATATACCCGTCTGAGAGATGGCATGCAATTCGGACAGACCCCTCTAAGAGTTTGCATGCAATTCGGATGCAGCCCCGTATTCCTATTCCCTTTACGAAAAAAATCTTCTGTATCTATGTCATTTAATAAAGACAGGTTTATTTTTTCATTATATTTCGCACCACAAATGTCAGTCAGTTTTGAACTTTGTATTTCTATAAATTAGTAATAAGTATATACAATTATTTTACTTTACATAGCTAATAAACATAATCATTATCTACGAATTGAGTAGGTACCAATACGCAACAATAAGTTTTCTCGGCTGACATTGGATGCATGATTAATTAGTTCAAATGTCAAATTGTCGGTAAATATGTAAATTGTATAATAATATATTATCTAGGTAGTAGGTACCTACCCTATTGGCTATCATAAAGTGATACTCAAAACTATGACTACTGCATCAGAAATAAATTATTTTTATTTTTGAATGTATAGAGCATATACATTGTAGTCACGTATTTTAATTTACGTAGGTATAAGAATTCTATCAAAGTCAAACGACAATGGCGTGTCCTCGGAAGTTTAGGGCAGAATCATTCCGGTACAAATGCGTCATAATATATCGTATCTATTTGTGTACACTGGCACATACGAGTAGTATTCATTCTTATTGCGTCAGAAACGTCACCACACTTACTTCCGATGACACGTCTATATGCATTGTACGATAAGTTGTTGTTCGTTGAAATTAAACTTGACGCAGTTCAGATAAATTATCGAACGCCGCAAGTTGATGGAGTGAAAACGACGCACCTACTTAATATATACAAAAGAATAAAAAACGGTTGACAAATTTTATTTTATAACGCACGTCAATAGCTTTAATGTATCAGTTAGGGTCCGCGGATGAACTATCGAAGACGAGAACTTAAAAAAATTCCGATAAGACTTTATCGAGAAAAACTGTTGTAACTTTATTTTATTTCGGGCCATAATATTATAATGGAAAGTACGTTTCAGTGGTACACGTATAAATTAGATTTACACAGATAAAATTTTTTAAAATACGAATGTCGTATGCATATAATCTTTTATTAAATATATTTTACTTGAAAAAAAAAAAAGTTCTAGACTCAATACTCGGGTTATCAAGTACCATTTTTCGTATAACTGATAGGTACCTGAGTTTTCATAGTATAAAAAACTAAAACATGAATGAATTACAAAAAAAATTAACTTGTAATTAATAAATTTACGAATAAAGAAAAAGGAAACTTTACAAGTTTATAGAGAGCAGATAAATCAATTAATAATGAAGTCTTTTATAGATTTTAAGCTACACAACTAGTGTTTTTTTTTTTTTAGTTTGTTTTTATTTCTATACTTTGCTAGCTCAGGAAGTACTCAAAAATGTCTATCAATTGAGAATATTTATTCAATTGAGATTAATTTAAAAAGATATTATTTCTGTAACTTTTTACTAATCTTTTGCGAGGAAAAAACCTTACCAGTTATAAAGGTCAAATATTTTTAAAAGATACATCAGCTTACAAACACGGATTTAAGAAAGTTCTGATGAGAAGTGAATTTCAAAAAATAAATTACTTATCATTGATTTCAAAATGAATTTAATCACAATTAATTCTCTGTTAGTTAAAAGTAAAAAGGTTACTTTTCTAGTGAGTCAAGTTTTCAATAATCAGTTTTTATATTTTCTCCGGTTGTTAACATCATTTTTAATGTAATTAATGCCTATCATATTGTGTTTAATCTATTAATTGGAATATTTAATACTTACAGGCAATTTTAAATTAATTTAAAATTATTAACTTGGAACTCAATATTGAAAATATACCTACTTTAAAATTTCTTAGTAACTTAAAAATTAATATATATATGCATATAAAAATGTGGAAAGAGCTTTATATGAAAGGCTAATCTTGAAACTATTAGACTGATTTAAATAAAAGTTATATTCATAAATTCCTCGAAACTCAGAGGATGCTTAAAATATTATTTTCAATCACTTTTGGTGGCTATATGGTAATTAATACACGCATATTTAATTCAGGCTCACAAAAAAAAAAAAAAAAATGTTTATATTAAGGTTAGATTGGTTACAGCTAAGAAAATAAAAATAAAAATTTACCTATACAGTTTATCCAAATTACTATACGTTAGCTAATAGATTTTTTTAAAGTAAAATGAGATGATATATAATTTATCGTTTATTATTCAAATGTTCAACAAATTTAAATGGCCTTATGTTTGTAGCATAGGTTATAATTAATTTTAGAAATTCAAAAACTGCTTAACCAATTTTTACGAAAGTTTCAGTGATCTTTCTTAGAGATATCAGAAAAGTTTAGAGAGTAGTTTGAACCAAGTTGAAAAATATAAAAAATGTTATTTACAATTCCCCATAGGCATTGCCCATATCAATTGAATTAGTTCACTAGGTAAGGTACACCGACGCAGTAAAAAAAGAAGTTTCTTACGAATTTCAAAACTATACTTGGATGTTTGTATAGTCGACTGAGATTTTATTCGTAAAAAAAAAATTAGAATAAGTTAATTCTTAAATAAAATATAATACTAACTTTTATTTTAGAAGTATGCTGGCGATACCTGCTGTTAGCCATTTACGTTTTATTTTTTAGGGATATGGATTTTAGTGTGAATTTCAAAACTAAGTTTGCATAGTTTACAAGAGTGTCGTATATGATATTCGTACAAAAAAAAAAAAAAAAATTTAAAACCACTATTTTAACCAGGCAAGTGCTGGAAAAACATATTTCTGTTACTTAATTTAAGTTTGATTTTAGGTTGGATAGAAATATTGTTCTAATTTCGAAATTTGACATGCTCGTCTGAATGAAAATTGAACACTGTAGGTTATATTTTTAAAAAAAACTTGGAATATATTAATTTTTACCAAAAAATGTATAGCTTTCATTCTAAGACTATATAAGTATCTATACTGGTGACATTTATTGCCTTTTAATTCATAGTATTTTTTATTTTTAGAGATATATTTATTATACGATATTATACATTATTTATATAAATAATATTGTATTACATATTTATAAAGATATAGATGGGGCTTTTTCCGTTAGGTTAAAAAAAATTTCGCCGATAGATTACAAAAAATGTGAATGAACATTTTTAACATAATAAAATTATATTTCATGAGATAAATTTTATTATATATCAAAAGTATTGTATAAAAAATTCAACAATTATGGCATATGTAATAAGATCTGTAAAACAAGTTGCTAATTTTATAAGATTCCGTGGTTTGAAATAAAGACAATTTTCGGGTTTTTTTTAAATGTTTTAGAAAGCCAGATTTCAGGTTTACTATACCTTAACAGAAATACAATAATTATCATTTTTTAATGTATTAGAAAGATTTAGAAAATTAAAGATGCCATACAAATATTTTTAGACTCTAACGAACTAGATATTAGTAAATTGTTGAATCCAATGTGATTACAAGATTTATCTTTCACGATCCAACTAACAAAGCATTTTTTGATTTAAAATTTAAAATTATGATATAAATATATTAAATTATATCAGCCACTAATAATTATGTTAACCATGTTATGTTTTTAATTTAAATTACATCTATTGAAAATATAATTATGAAGTGAAGATTTAATGTATTTCTCAAATCGCATGGCATATAAAACAGGTAAAAATAAATCAGTTTTTTACAAAAAGTATTCAGAAAAATTTATTTGTTTAAAAATTTAATTCGAAAACGGGATTCAAGATTTAAAATATTTATAGAAAACGATTTATCCTTGTTTTAATCTCATATTTACTATAGATGTAGTAAAAGTTCTAGTACGTATACAAATGATTAATTTAGATTTAAAATAATTCAATCAAAAAAAAATAAAAATATTAAGATTGGTGTATCTACCTGTTGATTTGTACAGTTACGCCATCACGATATGACGTAGAAACTTGTAGATTTGTGTGTACAATTTTTTCTATGTTAATTTTTTTTTTTTTCTAGAAGGTATTTATCAACATGATTAGCTATTTTCATAAATTAACAGTTGTAAATTACTTGTAGAGTCTAGATCAATTGTCATTTATTTAAATTCAGTCTTAAAAATGGCTTCATTCAATAAAATTTCTTCTGAAATTGAAAAGTAAGTGGCAGAAAAGAGTCAATTATTGTAAACATCAAAAAGGAATTATTAATCTGAATCTAACAAGCCAGTAGCCACTTATTACTTTTCATTAATGAAAATAGTATAAATTAATTATTATTAAGTTTTTTTTTGTAATTTAAAATTTAATTAATGCTTTTATCATAAAATAAATAAATAATTAATTTTTTTTTTAAATTAAAACAAAATTTAATAATTGTTAAAAATAATTGTAAATTATTTAGTTGTACTTGTCTTGTGATATAATGAATAAAAATTAAAAGGATTTTATACAATATTTTTTCCGATACATTCTTATATAGGTATACATTGTAAAGTATTCAATTTAATTGGCCCAGTTTATATTTTGAGTTTGACATACCTGGTTCAACAGTTTTATGACTTGAGTTTTACTGAGAACTTTTTTGAATTTGTTTATAATCTAAAAACTTTTTTTAAACATTTTTAATACCTATATATTCTTTATAGGTGCCCGTGTGATGCCAGGTATTTTTATAAGCTAATAAAATAAAAACATGAGCATATAATATAATATGTATGTATTGTCATTGTATATATAAATAGATTTAATTACTACGATAGATAGGTATAACGAATGTACTGATTGAATTGTTATAAGGATATGTAAAAAAATATTTAATAAATTATGTGAAATAATTTTATAAATTAGCAGGTCATTAAGGTGCGTTATAAATGCATTTTCAATCCACGTACTAGACGACTTCGAAACTTCCAAAAGTCCTGAAATATGCGAAATGTTTTTATTTGAATTGTATTATATTGTATAGTTAATAAATTATACACATATATTATTACTTTGAAGTCCATGTCATCGAAACCTCTTCGACGTGCTATTTCTTTAACTTCAATAGCGATATTTTGCTGCGTTGTACCTATTACGTCTATATATTGGCATTCACAGGATGCAAAATGACAAGAAATTGCTTTTCTTGTTTCCTTTGAACAACAAATATATATGCGTTCATAAAATTTAAATATATATTTATATAAGTTGATGTTATTTAAAAAGTATTGCTTTGTTTAATAGTTACTTAATTAATGTAAGAATAGTAAATAATAAATTAGGTTTTTTTTTTAAATTTTACCTTAGGTATTATATAGGTGTTTCAATATTATACAAATGGTAATAGTATTATTATTAATGTTATTAAATAATATATTGAGAGAAATTTTAAAATATTTAGCATTTACAGCTTTAAACACATACATTTATAATATATATCATACATACTTGTGACATGTTCGGTCCAGATCCGTGTATTAGTAATGGGTGAAAAAATACCGTGTCACCAGGATTCATATCCAAATATTTTTTTTGGTGACTATCGTAGCCGATAATCCCGTGGAAACCTTTATTCACGCCACCCTTTTAAACGTAACACATCAGAAAATATTTTCAGCAAATAATAAATGAATGATAATAATACAATAACTATAATATTTCTTACTTTCCATTCTGGATATTCGTGTGGAAGAAGTTTACCCGGGTGTATATGTGAACCCGGCAATACAAATAAACAACCGTTAGATTTTGTAACCGTTTGCATAGCTGTCCATGTAGCTATGATTCTGTCAGCTGGGCGAAATGCAAAGTAATGTAAATCCTAAAAAAAAGTTAAAAATAACGAAAGATAACAAAAAATTATTAAAAGGTATAGGAATAAAATTAATTACAAAATTTAATTAACGATGATAGTACAACGTCACAAGTCTTGACTTTTATGTTTTTTGACATGTAATTAAAAATTCACAAAAACATTTGTATTTAAATTTTACTTAATAATTTAATCCTCATGCCATAAATTTGATATAAACATATCAATATATAATATATCATATTACATATTTTATTGTTAGTTATCACGTAGATAGGTACTGTTGGATTTTTCATTAGTTACATTTTTTGCCATATTAGGTATTTATTTGATTATACCTAAACACTTAAAAATAATGTTAATACTTTTGGTAAGTTATAACGTATGTACGATGTATCGACCTGTACTATTATATTAAAGTTTTGATTTATAGCTATATAAGGTCAGCTTAGACATTTAGTATTAATATAATAAGACGCTAGAAAGACGTAAAAATTACTCGTAAAGTCTTAATAAAAATTAAATATAATAATAATAATAAGTGCTTTTATTTTTTATACACCAATAAAGTGTATCAGATTTTTGTTAATAAAATTAAGTCGAATAAAATATATTAAAAAATTAATTAAATGTAAAAAAATCATATGACATATTCTGATAAGAGCGTGTGTGTGAGGATTTAACGAATGTAATAAATGTTATATCAAGGGGAATAATATTTTAGTCATAAACCAATGATTAAGATTTGTAAATATAAAATATAGTAATAAAGTCCAACAGTACTGAAAACCATAATGTGGAAACGTGGAAATATGACTATATTCTACTCAGTTTTTTAACTTGAGAATATTTTAACTGTTGTCTGATAACAAACGATTGAAATACATAAAAAAAAAAACTATACTTGGAATTGTTTTTTTCGAATCCAATGTATAATATATAAAATTGTCTTTCTTCAATATAATATAATAGAAAAATCAAAATTAACACGGAATACGTTACGCGTGTACCCATATATTATGTTTTACCTGATGCATTGGATGTCTTGAAGTCATCGAACCAGTATCTGGAGGTTTGTTTATTAACATTGAATGCATTGCCATTATATTGTTACCAGTGAAACATTGTACATAATCGAGCAACTATAAATAGAAGTAAATGGTTTTTATTTTATTTTTTATTTTTAACATAAAATAAAAATAATGTACCAAAATACAAAAAAAAAACTTTTGGAATGTTTGTCATGAATATACAAAGTTACCAGGAATAATTGTGTCAACAATTTCATAGAAACTCAAGTTATTTGATAATTACATTTTTTTAAATTTAATTTTCATAAAATATGGATCTCTTAACGATTGTTTAATGATATAACATGTTTTCTAAGTTTTGACGCTTTAGCTTAAAAACAAAAATGCTATATCTAGGTTTTAATAATTGAATAATATCTAAAGAGTAGGTTGAAAGTAGATATTGTGATATGTAATTCTTTAAATATCTATTGTTTTGAAAGTTGAACATAAATTATTCGTGGAATGTGGGCAATTTTGATGTTGAAATACAAATAGTTAGAAAGTTGGCTTTTACTTTTAGTTAAATAATTATTTAAAGTTATTTGAAATCATTCATTATCTATGCAAGATATTAATAATTTTTAAAGAAATATCTTTGTAATTATAAAAGAGAAAAAAGTATTTTTTTTTTTGTTGGAAATAAAACCGTTGAGTACTACTGATTAATTTATCATATTTAATGCTTCGATACATTTTAATTTTGAGCAATGATGAGATTTAATTATAAAGGATTAGTTTGATATTATTATGAATGAAAAATATACTCTGAAGAAAAAATTATAAACTTTTAGAACTCAATTTATGATGATTGTATCGAAAAGATTATTTTTTGATAATAACTCTTAGACTTTAAGCTAGCTTAAGTATAATATTATATACAGGATATTATAATTTTTAAATTTTCTACTTATTTTCGTTTAAATTATTAATTCCAATCAATTATTTTTAATTGCTCATTATAATTTTTCATGAAAAATAATGATAATAAATTATGTAATAATCTGTTTATAATATTTTACTAAACATTCGAAAAATAAAATGTATTACTATATTTTGTGCGTTATATAAGAGTACTATAAATGATGAAGTATTATATTTTAAGATAAACTGTATCAAGATAATATAAGGTTAATTTACATATTATATTAAATCATAATATTCATAGTTATTTATTAAATTTTTAAATGCAGTGTAGTATACGTACACATAAATTACACCGGTTTCAATGATAAATTGTATATATAATATATATTATAAAACCTATACAAGAATATTATTTTTATTTATATTGAACTTTCTAAACACATTTTTACCGCTGTGCATTGAAAACACTTTTTTAAAAGTAATTGTATTATAATTTAATTTCCTAATCATTTTGGGACTTGTTCAAATATAAAAGTAACATTAAGTAAAAACTTTGTAATTTTATTTTCTATATAATAATAACACTTTGTATACAGCACAAAAATAAACATCATTTTGCAAAAATTTATTTATTTTAAACAAAACTTATACATTTTATGTTGACACATTTTGTCTTGCTAATATGCCTAAATACGTTTCTGATGTGTAATTATTTAATTGAGCGAACTTACAAATAACATTATTTGAGTTTTAATCATTATACTTTTAGTATTTTATTATATTGTGGCGGAAATATATTAAATACTAATTTTAATGATAACTGATAAAGGTTGTCCTTATCGACACGGTGAAAATCATTACGTATCCGTTTTTATAGGCCGAAGGTAAAATTATGGTATAACACTATAATAATACGACACTCAACTTTTCGATGTCCCATCTAGCGCAACACGTATAATTATTTAACCATTTTTGACGAGTATCCACTAAATGTTTACCAAACCACTATGTCCATTGAACACGATCCGTTCGAAATATTAATATAATTACGTGTTTGTTGTCAACAAATAATAATAAAAAGTACAGTTAAACATTTGATAAAAATAAAAATAGTAAATATATTATTGATTTTCATGAAACGAGGGTTTAAATTATTTTTATCTGTAGTAGAGTTACCTAAATTGACACATTCGTATTATTAGGAAACGATATAATAAATGCAATATTATAGTCCATATATGTAGGATATGTGATAGACTAATAATATATCTACGTGTCATATTATTTGACCTGTCTACGTTATTATTGACGATAAGTGACGATGATAATAATAATAATAATAATAATAATTAATAATAATAATAATCATAACCAAGGTTTTCGATAAACTATCTTATTCGTATTATTATTTAACGATATTTAATTATAAAAATCGTAGACGAGTTGATTAATTGTTGTTTCAAACGTTTAATATTTATTTTGTACTTTTAATAATTATAGTACACTATATATTTAATATTATTACATAATGTAAGTAGTTATTTAATTTTTCTGTATATCATATATTTCGCATTTATTTTATTACTATTAAATATTATTATATAATTACACTATGCACATAATTTATCATTTGATATGAGAAAAGAATGTGTGCATATTATATAATAATATGTGTATTGTATATGTCAGTATGTCTGTAGTACTATGAGTACAATATACAACTTTTAGCACTCAAAATTAGAAATACTTTTGTTGTAATAAAAATAATTACTTTTATGTAGAAAGTACTGTTCGAATATATATCATCCCATAATATGTCTTGAATCTTATTAACGATACGCTCATTAGGTAGTTATTTCTTGATTTTTAACTGATGAGATATCTTCATCACAAAGCGTTCCTCCCTTTATTGATCTTATTTTCACATATAATGTTAAATCTTTGTCTAAAAGCAGAATGAAAAATTATTAAATACCACAATTCCACAATGAATTATTTAAGTTTATTTTTAAATGCATTTTTAAATTAAAGTTCTAATAACTTATAGAATAAATATTTTGTTTTAATTCTAAAATTTGTAAAACTCTTGTGCATATTCTATTATTTTGCAATATAACAAATGATACTTAAAAGGTTAATAAAATAAAATAAATCAAGTTAAATAATTTAACTGATAAAAATTAAAAACTGAGAAGTTAAGAGAAGAAGATATCCAGTGATGAAACTTCATGCTATGGAGTGGGAAAAGTTTTTCGATTAGTAGTTCGTTTTCAGGCTTTTTCTGAGGTCACTAAGAATGAAATAGACAGTTCTAAAATCAAGGTGATTGACACATATGATATTGAAGTATAGGCTGTTGTAGAATGTCTTGGAATATTGGACAACATATAGGATATTTATTATAAAAATAGATTCTAAATTGATTATGTCATTGCATGTATTGACATAATTAATTTATATAGATAAATAGGTAAGCAATACGTAACTGAACGGAAGTACGTACCGT